CAGCTCACGCTTTTATGTTACAGTTTTCTTAGAGTTCTTAATGGCTGCCAGTCCAAGGGAGTATTGCAATACTCATACTAATACGCTGTTTACTGGTGTGCAGGAAAGCTTGTAGGAGTCATACTTCAGTCTGCATTTTACTAGAATGATTCTGTGGACGTGGTTTCTTTGCATGGGATTCTTATTATGAGCTGATGGGAATATTGAATTACTCCTTAGACCCTCCAGGCAGTACATCAGCTTCACTCATACACAGCAATTTTTGCTGTGCTGTATGTGCCGTGTACTGGCTCCAGTTTCTGATTCTCCCAGGGCTATGATTTCGCTCTGTTCGTTTCCATTTTTCTTTCTCAGAGCCAAAATGTTTGACTAAGGGTGAAAAATATTTTTAATGAATTATTTTAATATGTTCTCCTGTTTTGGGCTTCTATTCCCCTCTCCCCTGAACCAGGTTTCACCAGCTGTTTTAAATATTTTCTGAGTACATATGCTTTCAAGGTTTTTCTGCAAATCCAGTCGTGTTTAACAGGCACTGAGTCCTTGTGAATCAATGTTGTGTTTTTCTATATTTTATGCCTCCTTGATCTGGCGGATGTCTTGAGTTCTAGGACAAGAGATTTTCAGCATTTTCTGTATAAAAGTGGAGAAGATTAGTACATTGTTAAAATCTCCTTAGAAAGGAACAGTGCTTAGACATCTGTGGGAGAAAGGCATTTCAGTGACCACATTTTGTAAAATTTAGTAAGTTTAGTAAGTAATTAAATCAAATAATCCAGTTTATGCAATATCAAAAGTGATGGCTTTTATAAAGAAAGCTCTACATGTGTGGTTTTTTTTTCTTCACTTTTACTCCCTTCCTTTTTTTTAAAAAACAAACAACAAACTTAACTGAGTGACATATATCACATAAAAATAAATATGGTGTTTGATCTTACCTTGAAAAAAAATCTTGATCTTAAAGTCATAATTTTAGGTAGATGAAAGTTATTTTTCATTAATAGAAACATGTGATTAATTCAGAGTTTAATTTTCACCTTGACCAGCCAAATTAAATGTATTTGTTTCATTTAAGCCGTAACTATTTTCTTACTTTTTTCACTTGCACTGCAATGTCAATTTTGTTCTGTGTTTCCTTACTTGATTTTTTTTTCCCTCTACTGTTCTGTCATTTGCTCTAAGACACCTGAAGGGTCATTTTTAACAATGAAAAGTGAGGAAATGTCAAAGGTAAGGCTGGTGATTAAGGCTCTTTGTGTACTTTCTGCGAGATTCTCAGCATGTGTGACAGGGACGAGGCTTTAACTTGAGGAAGGTTAGCTGGTGACTTGATGCTCCTTCATTCTGTTTCCATTTGCTGACTTCCAGATTGAGAAACCGGTGCAGCCGGGTTAATTTGATGCCTCATGGAAATTTTAGAAAGGAGAAAATCACTTTGTGTCAGCCCATGATCAGAAGCAGAGAGAGAAAGGAGAAGAGAAGGCATGAAGAATCAAAGAATAAAGAAGCATGCATCAGAAGAGAGGAGAAAAAAAAAAAAAAAGAGAGAAAAAAAAAAAAAGAGGAGCTAGTGGCAGGGAATGCTTACCTCCCTGGGGACAAATAAAAATACATAACTGCTTCCCTGATGTTACTTTGCCATATAAACAATTACCCTAGGAGCCGTGTAAGTGATGTATGACTACGAGAGAAAAGTGAGCAGGTTTTAGCTGTCTACCCTCTCTTTCAATCTCTTTGCAAAACTATCTGTAAAATCTGAGACCTGGTCCATGCCAGAAACTGAAAAAAAAAAAAGTTAAAGACTTAAAAAGGAAGGATAATCCCACATGATTACATTTTTGTTATTTCTCAAGTGTTAATCACAAAATGAAAAATGGTATTGTGTGTAATCTTAGATTTGTATAAGTGCATGATGACATTTTGAATTACCTTTCCTGAAACACAAACTGTGGATGTCTCAGACATAGAAGACATTCACTGAATTGCAGAGCTTTAAAAATGACAGTCCTAGGGTTTTGATGGATTCTCTGTCTCCTGAAGTCTTGAAATTAAAGTCAATATTTTTCTGTATTTCCAGCAGAAGTTAAAAGACTAAATGCAGACATTATTGCACAGTGTACCTGGGCTTCTATAGGTGTTTGACAGGATGATCACAGGGTGTCTTCAGGATTTGAGCTAGGAGGCTTGTTTGGAGTCTCGCTGTAGTGCTGCGGTGTCTGCAGCAAATGATTGATTCTTTGCGTACGTGGACTTGTGCTTTTCTCATTTAACATTCTTCTGTACTTGTTTTCATTATGTTTTGTTTCTCGGTGCAGGTTTTCCAGCTGCAGTCTCTCCCTGTTTACAGTGTCCATTCCAGCCAGTTCTGTATCTTCCCATCCTGTCGGCCACAGCCTCTCATTCTGTAGCTTATAGGGCTGTAACGCCCTTTCCTCCTGCAAACCTTCCAGCAGCCTGGCTTCTCTTTCACCCATGCTGTTTTGTCTGTAGGTGGAGAGTGTGTTTTTTTGGTATTTTGGTTTGGTTTTAGGAGAAAAGAGAGAAAAATCAGCTTTTAGGGGTGTTTACATTTGGGTTTTTTTTTGATTCAGTTCCTCCCTAGTGCAGACTAAAGAGGATGACGGCATCTGATTCCATCGCCATGGCCTGGGCTGGTCCTGTTGTCCTGCAGGACTGGCAACCAAGCTGCCATCAGCTGGGGCTGATGAAGTGTCTGCATTAACTGACTGTGTTTTACAAAAATGGCTTCATCTGGTAGGACTTAATTAGTAGGAAAAGCAGCTTATATCTCTGGCTCTATTAGGAGGCTTCATGCTGTTGTGGTGTGACTGCTTATTGTTGAACCTTCAATGAAGAAGACAGTTTACCTTACAGATGGGGTTTGTTTTGAAAATAAAACAGGTTAAAGATGTAAGCCACCACACAAATGCTACATATGATTACAAAATGCAAAAAGAATTCTGTGAGGAACATGATGCAAGAATGCCTTTGGGCCTAGGTTTTTATTCCTTTGTTTTTAAAACGAGTGACTAAAAATACTTATGCAATATTAATTCAGGATATACAGCAAATTGGTGTTTGGAAGCATTAAATTTTCTTCATAATTGTTCTCCATTCACTTGGCCGATTATCAGTAATTTCAGGGAATTAGACATCCTTCTCTTAGAAGTTTCTAGTGAACTCTTTAGAGTTGTCAAACAATAACCAAGCTGCCACTTAGGTAGCAATTTTCCCTCCTGCTGTCCACACTAATGTTAGGTGGCTGTTAGGAAAAGCTAGACAAGCAAACTGCCGTATAGTAAGTCTGTAGGAAAATTTTTTTTCAGTGTCATGCTGCTGAGTGAGTTTTGATCCACAAATCTTTATGTTTCTGTTCACACAAAGTCTTTTATCCTCCTGTTTACATCCAAGGAGTTTGTTTTTTCTTCATAGCAAGATCTGTGAAAGTATATTTTGTTAAAGAATTAATACTGTCTTTTTTGTGGATTAAGGTTATATTTCTTTAGTCATCTTCAGGTGGGTTCCACAAGAATCTAATTCAAAACATGTGATGTCCAGTTCTTCCCCTTTCCTCTGCTATAAAAGGAAAAGGGAAACAGAATTGTTAAACCCTCTCAGGAAGTGCCATTTACTGAAAAGGTGGCTTTCTGTCCTCTCTGGCTGTGTTACAGGACTTCCTAAGGCACAAAGTGTGCACAGGGAGAAGAGCTTCAAAACTTCTGTTGTCAGTAAGGGGTTTTGGGAGGGACTGCTTGATGGGGATGTCAATGGGGATGTGAAAGCATGATTCATTGACCTGGTGGAACATGTTATGGACTTCCCTGTAGTTTATGGAAGTACTGAGCATCATCATCTCTCTGTCTCTTGATCTCTGTCTCTCCCTGTCCCCTGGAGTTAGCAGACCAAGGGGATCAACATCCCAACACTATCCCTGTGCCAACCAGGAGTGAGGAATGTGAACATCTGAATGAGTGTGGGCTTACTTGGTTTTGACTCCTGTTCCTCTCAGTGTAGGTACTTCCCAGCCCTGCTGAGTTGCTGCTTCTGAAGAGGAGTAGTGAAGCTTGCAAAGATGCTTAACTGCTTCTCTCTCCAGCCACATGGAATCAGCAGAAATTATTACACTTGGTTGGTGTTTTCAGTCTAGTAGTTGTGTTTGAGATAACCCAACTGCTTCTGAGGAATGTGAGACCAACATTGCAAATGGTTTTGGTGATCTCAGGAAAAGCAAATATACCTGTTTGGTTTGTTTTAATCTACCCTGTGTTACAATTGCCATAGTAATCACACAAGAAGTACAATGGTGGTTGTATTCCAAGAGCTGATAAAAACTGTGGAAGGTGAGTGAAGGGTGCTTGATGTTGAGCATGGAAGAGGGAGCAGCCCATCCTGTCCTACAAGCCAGCAGCAACGTGTTTTATAACGGCTGGGTCCCAGCGTTCCTCTGCAAGTGGCCTTTCCTCCTGCTGGCTTTTGCATGATGAAGAGAAGTCTTTGTCTTAGAAATGTTCCATTCTGGAGATGAGAGGATACCCTCCATTATTAAGATTCAGACTTGATTTCCCACCCATGCTTAGTCTTGGCTCTCATTTTAAACTTTTTGAAGAGGTCTGCATTTTGCATGTGTGTTGCATGACGAATGGATGTTTTCTCTGCTCCTAAATGTGAACTTGACTCTAAAAGGAAGATTGTCAAACATCCTTTGGAAGTATCTTTAAATACTTTAAAAATAAGCCCAAGTCTTATGTGAGACACAAAATTGAACTATGTAATGAATAGTTTTACAAATTGTAGAGAAGAAATGCAAAGTAGTGAGCTTGTTCTCAGAAACCTATTTAGTTTCAGAACATCTAAGGATTTTTTTTAGTGTTTACATGAATGATATGGAAGGTAATGTTTCAGTTTCTGTACAGGCAAGATCCCAACTAAAACTACTGCATGTCTGTATGAATATGGATTTACTTTTGTTCTGGTGTGACCCTAAAATGTCTGCATGAGGATTGTCTGTTTTAAATATTTTTTTTTTTAATTTGTAGTGATGAATTAGTATGTTAGATATTATCTAATGCAGTAGACTTTTTGACATCTCATATGAAATATTAAATACACTAGCTATTATATAGTTGTTAAAATACTTTTACCTTGATAAGATTGCATAAGCATAGGTAAGTAAACAATAATAAGCTATTTTTCTGCTCTTATGTGAGATTCAAGACAGCTACTTTTATTTGACTGTAATTTTTAGTCAGAAGCACCATGTTTAGTGTCAAAATAGCACAATTTGCCAAAATATATGTGAATAATTTCTAAGAGTTAACTTTCAGTTGTTGAACTAAGCCCTTCAAAAGCCAGTGGTGGTTTCCTGCTAGAAGCACACTGACTGCTTGATCCACGCCGCAGAGAAGCTGATGATCTGTAGGCACCAATGGGTATTCTACTCTCAGTCATTTGTACATCTTCCCCCTGTTTATTCTGTGGATGGTCAGGTGCTCTGAGGAACCTCATAAGGATGCAGGGACTGAAAAAACAATGTTCTAGGGAGGTCTTAATACCAGAAAGCTTTCTAAATTTGGATGTAAGATAAAAATGATGATACTAAGACTTGTTCCCTAAAATCTAATGCTCTCAGATGGGTTAAAGAAATAACTCATCAATACAGGAGATGGCTGTCTTCTTCTGTAGCTTTCTTTCAGTGGTTACACAAGATAACTTTCTTCCTTTTGAGAAGTGGAACGTACCTGAATTGCATTTCGCAGAGCCTTTAAGAGAACTTAAGTTAAAAAAGTGTTACTGCAGTGAATTTTATTTTTGTAGCAGCCGCTTCTTACAGATGCATCGCTACAAGCTGTGTAGCGGGAGCTTGAGGATTAGTTGGCATAGTGCTCTTACAGCTGTCCTTTACATCCTGACTGTGACATCAAAGTCCATCTCGGGCACTCATCCAGAAAGGTAGCTCCTCCTTTGCATCTCCACGTTGGCAGTTGGATGGATAGTGCCCCTTCCATGTTCCTGCTTTACTCCTGGATATTTTGTCTCCTTCACTGAGGTGGTTAGCCCCGAGTGCTGAGCGGGTGGCACTCGGGGGACTGAGCACTGTGCCCATCAGCCCGTGTGCAGGCAGCCCTGGCCATGGCTTTGTGGGGGCTGGAGGAACTGTAGTTCCTTTCTGTCCCCATTTTGTCTTCTCTTTGTCCTCAGTAGAGGTTTTGTGAACTTACCTTCCTCTGGGGAGGCCTTGGAGAGGGTAAGGTGTATATGGTAGTAGCACAAGGCACTTAACTGGGTTCAGGTGCAGAAGGAGGCATTCAATTACCATATCAGTTGGAGCAGCATTTTTCTTCTGCTCTATGAAAAATGCAGTGTGTTAGAGAGGTTTTGCAGACTACTCTTATCCAACTGACTACTTGCAGGGCATTTCCTGGGTAATCTGTCCCGGGCTATAGATTTTCCTTGGAATCTGTTAGGATTCCTCATGGTCAAGCAACACCCTTCAATTACTCATGCAAATGGAAGAGGACCAAGTAGTATATGCTGGCTGTCTTCTCCTTTTCTCATTTCAGTGTCTTGATACATTTTGGACTGCAGAATAATAAATACCTTATTAATCTCCTTGAAGAATGAAACAGAATAAAAACTCCTTAATAGTATAAAATAAATAATAATCATCATAATTTTAAAAATGTCAGCTTCCTGTTCCCTTCTGTATGGAGATACTTGAAATTGTTGTAGCATATTCTAGGATAAGGCAAGGAAGGAAGCTTGTGGTGTGGAGACAGCTTGGAAAAGTTAGCTGCTGGGAACCTGACAAATTCTGGCATGAAGTATATACCATAGAATTTCAGTAAATATCTTCTGTTAGTTCTGGCTAAAGCTGTTTCTCCACTAGGAAAGATGATCTTCATCTCTGGCTTGAACCAATCACAAAGCATAATGAAAATTGGCAACTGCAAGCCTGAAAAGTCATTGATCCAATAATTCATGAACCATTTTTCATGTAGTGAGATTTCTTCTTGAACTTCAGCTGTGACTCTTTCTGTTTGCTTATTCTTGGTTTTGAACTTTTAGGAATAATTTTTGACTCTCTTCAGCCTTGGCAATGTGAGATTAAAAAAAAAAGGAGTGAGAGATATGTAATTGAGCATGCAGCGTAACCATGTGTTTCCAGGGTTGTTAAAGGGAGCAGAGGAAGAAAGGAGGGAAACGGAAAAGGAAAAAAGAAAGATAGTGCCAAAGTTTCTCCAAGGTGTAGAAATTTTTTCTACATTTCCAGAAGAGAACAATTCAGGCTCCCTGTTGTTGTCAGGGACTTTGTAAAGCACAGTTGAAGATAGACAGGAATTGTCAGATTGGCGCACGTTTCAAGCATACTTATGCTCATTAGGCATAGTTTTAAAATAGGATGGATATAGTTTTTTCCTTATATGTTTCTAGTAAAGGAGAATTAACCATGTCTGTTAGTCTGTAACCCCTTGGCAAACAGCCCGTGTTCTGTTTTATTGACCCATTGTGGGCATTATCCAAAAAATTTAACTAGAAACTTCAGGGTAGTCTGAATTGTCTTACTCCCTGTTTGGCTACTGGGTACACCAGAGTTTTCTGCACTTCATGAAGTGATCTTTAACCTTGAGATCTAATGAGAAGATTTCAGCATGTTATGGTTGTAGCGGGAGCTTCTTATTCCCCACTCACCTAATTGGAAAGCACTTGTTTGGATGCCATTATGTTTGTGTAGTCCCCAAACTTCGCAGCTTCCCAGACCCTTCTCTGAGCTACCCTCAGCGAAAGGTCAGGCACAGCATCGTATCTTCTTGCGGAGAGCTGCACTATCTGGCCTCCCATGTCGTGGGCATGGCAGCTCTGCTGCCGTGCATCCCCTGCGGATGAAGAGGGTTGGTGGCATTTCATCTCATTACTTAAACACGCAAATACTTGATTTGTCTTCGGGGATTCAACTTGATACTTTTAGCTGAATGGCAGAAAATAATATTCTTGAGATCTTTATGCTCTGTGCTTTGCCCCTAGGCTGTATTAGTCCCTGCGTGCAGAAGAGACTTCTGCTAAAAATCATGTGTCTAAGCAGGTGGGGTGGTATGACATGGCCTTTTCCTCGTTCTGCTTGAGATCTTTTACTCTTCTTGGCCATCAGCGTCAGATATGAGCTCAGCGAAACTCACGGAGATTTGATAACACTTTAAATGAGAGTGTGTGTTGTGAATGTACCAACATGTTTCTAATAATCCTAGTAAATGTTTCTGTCACGGAAACAAGAATGGGTGCCATTAAAGTTGCAGAAGCTGTTAGAGTGAACATAGTCTTGAACAACTATTAAAAATGACTATCTTATTATAGATGTTAGCTGTAACTTTTTTTTCCCTGTATTGGAAACTCAGCAGCATGCACCGAGGCTATTTCTTCCCACGTATTTTTTCTTCTTTAAATTTTGTGCATACAGCTATGATATTGCATGCACAGATAATTTTTGACAAAAAAAAAAAAAAAAACAAACAAAAAAACCCCACAAATGCGGGGATCGTCTAACTATTATGCTTCTGTTCAAAATATGTCTAAATTTCTGTAATGAAGCTTTGTGGATTTTGGGTAATGCAGGTTCAGGTTCACCTCCAGCTGTTGATATCCCAAAATCATTGCCTTCTTTATCCTGGCGGTGGCCTGTGAGGTGGATGTAAGTGATCATGTTTATATCCCAGAAAAACCCCAGCTGAGCTTTTGATGGTTCCTGTACCTCTCTGCAGTGGAGTAAGGCTGGAGGTGGCCACACTCCCCCCGAGCCTGTGGGGAGGAGCAGCCAGGTGCCCAGGGCACTCTCAGTGGTAAGGAGATTCTCCACAGATATGTGGCAGTATGCCAGATTAACAGCCAAACTCTTTAAAAAAATGGAGTGTTCATCAATGACTGGCCGAGCGAGAAGTACCTCTTCCCTCAGTGTTTCAAACAGAAACGAGGTAAAAGCCCATCATATGCAACATGTTTGCTATTCACAGAGCTGAGATACCAGCAGCATCCCCACTGCCTTCTTGAGAAGTCAAGTACTACCATAATTCATACACCAGTGGATACGGCATTAGGTTCTGATGAAGAGTAGGGAAGGAGAGAGATTCCCATACCAGCTTTGTAAGGACTTGTGTAACAACAAATCCCTTGCTAATTACACACATACCTGCTGAACTGCAATTAAGCGTGTTTAATTCTTCAGCATCCGGATATGATCCACGTAGGAAATCCCACTGTATATATGAGGTGATGTACAAGGCTATGCCAGGAACAAGTGTTGAAAGAAAGTTTATTCTAGGGTGTTAGAAACTAATTTAGGCAGCCAAGT